TGCCAGCGTGTCTGAAATGTAGATGAAGATACACTATTAGAAAACTACAACTTAACAGACACACCAGGAAATACAAAATTTCAGTAGTCCTCTTAAAGAAAGACAACTTTTAATTATTAACTTTTAACTACCCACAAAGAAAACTCTTAAAGCCAGGTGGTTTCATCAGTGAATTGTCACAAAAAGGATAATCATGAACAAACTGTGTTCCAGGAAACGCAAAGTCAGTTTAACATTAAAAAATCAGTCAGTGTATTTCACTGTGTTAACAGTGTAGATCAGAAAACTGGTGTCATCTCAATGGGTGTAGAAAAAGCATTTAATAGAATTCAGCATCCATTTGTGAGGAAAAACTTTTAGCAAACTAGGACTGGAAAGGAACTTGATTCATCTGATAATAGTTATCCATTAAAAACCCACAGTAACCACAATACTAGAGAAACGTTGAAAGCTTACTTCCTGAGATTGGGAGTAAGGCAGTGGTACCTATATCTCCTCTTCTGATCATCACTGTATCATAGAGGGACAACAGCAAGTAGAATAAGGCGAGAGGAAGAATAAGGATTAGGAAGGAAAAAATAAAAACTGTTCAAATGCCTAGTAGTGCTAGTAGCTGCTTATTAGACAATGCTGATAAATTCATCATTGCAAAAAACTATTGAACAGTCCACTGTTCAGTTTAATGCACATAATTGATTGGATCAATTGCAGTCAATTGATTGGACAGTGTGCAGTTTCAACCACAGTGCCAACATGTGTTTTTTTTGTTTTGTGATTTTGATGAGCTAATTCTAAATCATACATGGGCATGCAAAGGGCTAAGAATGACCAAACCATTCTTTTTTTTTTTTTTTAAGATTTTATTTATTTGACAGAAACACAGAGAGAGATCGGAAACACAAGCAGGGGGAGTGGGAGAGGGAGAAGCAGGCCTCCCACGGAGCAGGGGGCCCGATGCGGGGCTCCATCCCAGGACCCCGGGATCATGACCTGAGCCGAAGGCAGATGCTTAACAACTGAGCCACCTAGGCGCCCCTAACCAAACCATTCTTGAGGAACCACAAAATTCTCTACTGGATATTAAAACTAGCTTGTTCTTACACAAAGTTTTAAGAAATCTAGGTAGGTCTGTGTCCAGTAGAACAGAATAGAGAATCTAAAACCAGATCTAAACACATATGGGCATGTCGTTTATTTATTTATTTTTTTTTAAGATTTTATTTATTTGACAGAGAGAGACAATGAGAGAGGAACACAAGCAGGGGGAGTGGGAGAGGGAGAAGCAGGCTTCCTGCTGAGCAGGGAGCCCAACGTGGGGCTCGATCCCAGGACCCTGGGATTATGACCTGAGCGGAAGGCAGACGCTTAATGACTGAACCACCCAGGCGCCCTGGGCATGTCATTTATGATAAAGATGGCATTGCGGAGCAGCAGGGAAAGTTCATCTTTTTAATCATTGGTCCTGAGTCAATCAAATGTCCATTTGGGGTTGTGGCGGGGGAATGGAACTTGATTCCTTTGGCACACATGCACAGAAATCCAATCCAAGAGCATTGTCCATCTGGATGTGAATGGTGAAACTGAACTTCTAGAAGGTAATGTAGAATTTCTTGATAACTTTGGTATAAGGGAACATTTCTTAAATGGACACCAAAAATACTAATTCTAAAACAAAAGGTGATAAAATTAAGAGATTGTGCTGGTTAAAAAACACCATTAAGAGGGTGACAATGCAAACCACTTATAGCCAATAAAGGGCTCATACCCAAAATATGTTACAAATAAAATGTTTTAAGTTTTAGAAATGTATAAGAAAAAAACTTTCTTGATAGAAAAATGGAAAAGCAACCTGAATGGGCATTTCACAGAAGTGGGTATTTAACTGGCCATAAATAAATCAAAAGATGATCATGGTCACTGGGAAAATATAAGTTCAGCTCTTAGTGGAGTACCACTACACACCTCCAGTAATGGTTGAAAATTAGAAAGAATAATGATTCTAAGTGTTACTGAAGGAATGAAACAGAGGGGATTTTTCATATACTGCTAGGGGAAAAACAGCAGAACAGCATCTCTATATATTCCAAAAGACACTTAATAAGACTCTTCCTAGTGGCATTATTTATAATAGCTCTAAACTAGGAATAATCCAAATGTCAATCAGAAGTCAAAGAGATAAGTAAATCATCACATGTTCACATGATGGGATACCAAAAAGTAATGATAATGAATAAACCACAACTTATAACATGAAGTGAACAAACCCATTTATGTAGAGTTATAACTAATCTGGTTTTGGAGGTCAAGATAGTAACTTTGGGGTAGAGGAAATTGGGTATTGATTGAGAGGGTCATGGAGTGGTGTTGGGGGGTTTCTGGCATGATGGCCTTTTTTTTTTTTTCCTTGTCACAGGTTCAATTGATAATTATTTAAGCTGTATACTAATGATTTTATACTTATTTCTATATATTATAAGTAAGTTTAAACATAGTCTGTAATAATGACATTGATAATAGAAGCTAATATTTTATTCAAGTACTAGGATCCATTATTCATGGCTTACTTGTGGTGTCTTATTTTAAAAAACTTCATAATAGACCTAAGGGAATAGGGTTAGTATAATAATAACTCTGCTGCATAGATAGGGAAACTAAGACCTAGAGTGGTTAAGTAATTTGTCATTTAGGGCCTTACTGTTTTTACGGTTTATTTATAAGAGCTATATATGTATCAAAGAACTCAATCTTTTTTATATATGTTTATATTCCTTCCCCGTTTTTTTGTGATTTTAACACGCAAATGTGAAGCCTCCCTTTCCCTCCATTACTTGACATTTAGGTTTCCTTTTTTTTTTTTTGCTGTTGTAGACGATACCAGGATAAACATTCTTCCCTGTCTTTGTGAGCGTCCTCGATTATATCCTTATGATAAATTCCCAGTGTTTTAAAAAAGATTTTATTTATTTATTTGAGAGAGAGCACAGAGGGAGAGTGAGAGGGAGAAGCAGCCTCCTCGCTGAGGAGAGAGCCCACCTACCATGACCTGAGCTGAAGGCAGACATTTAACCGACAGAGCTACACAGGTGCTCCCCCCCCAGTTTTGTTTTTTTTTTTAACTGAACAACGTTGTTAATTATGTAATTAAATTGACTGTAATTAAATTGACTGTATTTTTTAGTATGAGTAATGAAATGTTTAGAAACTTGCCCCATCTTTGATGATAGTAACACTGTCATTTTACTTATTCAGCAGATATTTATTGATCATGTACTGTGGGTGCGTTAAGGACCTCATGCTGTGATGGAGGGAGACAGAAGCTAAGGTCTGAAGGCGTGCCAAGGCAGGTTATAGTCCCGTTTCAGTGGGGGTGGAGGCCTTGAGATGTGCACTTTGGAGAAGTCACTCTAGTATCTTCCTGAAGAAAACAGAAATGGGCAGAGTAAAGATAAAAAGAGCTTTTAGGAATCTGTTTTAGTCCTCTAAGTGAGGCATGGGTTACTGGGTTACTGGAGCTGAGAAGTGACTGTATTTGAATGTTATGGGAGGTAGAACCAGCAAGATTGGGCGGCTATTTGCATGAGGTTAGTCTGTGAAGGAAAAGAACTCTCACTGGACTCCAGGAGCTTTGATTCTGATTGACTGGGTGGAAGACGGTGTCATTTGCTGTGGTAGAAAATAGAAGTGGAACTTGTATTTTGAGAGAATTGAGCTTTGTTCTCTTCAGTTTGGGGAGTCTGTGTGACATTCCATTAGAGGTTGTTAACCCCACAAAAGTGGGTACTCTCTCTATTCTTTACATCACAATACAGCAGTTGCAGCCAATATTGGGCCATTTATTAATTGCCAGAGCTATTCTAAGTATTTTACACATATGAAAGCACTTAACCTTCACCACAGGCTTTTGAGGTGGATATTACTCTAATTTTTTAGGAAGTTAGGTGTGCAAGGCCACAGAGTCAGTAAGCGTGGAGCTGGAATTTCAGACTGCAGCAGTCTGGCTGAACATCCGTGCTCTGCACTGTTGGGCCAGCGCTGTTGTATGTCTGAAACAGTACGTTAGCAAGAGCACCCTGGTGCTGAACGGTATGGTCTGTTGTATGGTTGCAGTTAGCTGGTGTATTCAGGAAGACAAGCACCGGAATTCTGGGTCCTCAGTTTGTTGACCAGGGTTTGGCACTTCGCATTTTGGCTTTAGTCTGTGATTAAAAGTGTGGTTAAATTTAGGAAGAAAGTTCTTTTTTCTTTTCTTTCTTTTTTTAAAGGAAGAATTAACTTTTATTAATTAACTACTAAATGCTTTTGACCAAGTGTTAATTTTCCATGTCTACGATGAAAATCATGAGTGCGGTCCCAGCCTACTTGTGGGATAATTATTGGCCATTCACACTTGCAGTGAGCTTGCCAGGTCTGGGTGCTCTTAGGACTGTGTCGAAGAGTTTGGAGGAATCCAGCATCCTGTGAATTTGTGCCTGTGTGTTTGTATGCTCAACTTTTAATTACTGGTGTCAGTGGCGAGCACCGTTAAGACAGATCTTTCACTTGGTTTGGGGGATGCTGGAATATTGATTGCATACACCTGGCAGGTGCAAAGCAGCATCTCAGCAGTGTTCCTTTGAATTGGTTTCAAAGGAGCTGATCCATCGGAGAGGCCTTTCTCAAGAAATCAGATATTCTTGCGCAGCTTAACAGTTCTCGATGAAAATCTCATAAGTGAAAATAAGTATTAAGGGTTGTTATTCCTATTGCTTTACAAAAAGATTTACTTAAGATTTTCTCTTGCTTCAGATTTATAGACACTCACTTAAATCACTATATTTTATACCGTTTAACAGAACTGTTGTGTCAAGTGTAGTTTCTTGTTTGCACTTTGTAGTTTTAGAAGTTTTTAATATGTTCGAACATCCTAAGGTCCTTATGGAAGGAACTATCATATAGGTCAAAAGATGCAGACATTAGGATATAAATACATCCTTTCAACTTCACTTGTTGTCTTCTCGTAGGAGGAGAGACTTCAGCATGCAAACCTTCATCTGTTCGGCTTGCACCGTCATTTTCATTCCATGCTGCTGGCCTTCAGATGGCTGGACAGATGCCCCATTCACATCAGTACAGTGACCGTCGCCAGCCAAACATAAGTGACCAACAGGTTTCTGCCTTATCTTATTCTGACCAGATTCAGCAACCTCTAACTAACCAGGTAAGTTTATGACATATCAGAAGTTGTTTGTTGGTGTGGTAGTTTATTCCTTAAAATGGGAGAACAGTAAATACACAAAAATGGTTTAATGGTTTTCAGTTTTACATGCCACATGAGATTCTGGATTGATGAGAGATGATAAGTATGCATTAAAAAGTGTGTTGGCTTTTTCTTTTTTCTGTGTATCCCACTTAATTAAAAAATACTCATAAACCATAACCACATTCTCTCATTCTGTAATAGGGAGGGAAAAAGTTATTTTTAAAGAATATTAGTTCAAATGAAGAAACTGGAAGCTTATTTTTATGAAAAGGGGGTAAGTAGAAAAACAAAGTTATAGGAAAACAAGTCAGATTCCATTATCACAAACTTACAGAGCTGATTTTATGCTGTTATAAACTACTTTAGTGCACATTTATTATAGTACGAAACTTCTTAAAATGAAAAAAAAAAATGTAATGTGAATTAACCTTGCTGGTCATTTTAATATTCAGACTAGAGAATCAGCTGTTTTTTTTTTTTTTTTAAATGGGTAGTTAACAGAGTAAGTGTAGAAATCTCTCGCTATACATACACGTATTCGTATGTGCAAATGTGTAGGTGTGCATTCATAATATTTCCTGAATTAACTGCATTCATCACTACATTGATTTTTGGTTTGGGAGAATTTTTTTTTACTAACTATGGTTGAGGTAAAATTTCTTTCCGCACTGGGATGGAGGGTATGATGAACGCTGACCAAGGATTTTTTCCATGCACTTAGGAATTGGGGTTGCCACTGTTTTCTTTAAGTCATTTAATATATCAAATGATCAAAAACTTGGAAAATTTCAATGTATTTCTTATGCTGGATTATTTGAAGGAAATGTGCTTTATTTCTAATTCAGTAGTATATGGTTTTAATGAAATTGGCTATAGTAAAGTAACATTATGATTAGGGGGCATCCCTTGTATGTATTAAGATTTTTGTCAGTAGTTGATCTGGCTTTGCATTTATAAAATGTATGAAGCGTGTGAATAACATTCATAGTTAATGGTAAGTTGAATTATGGCAAGACTTAAGAATTTGCTTTATGTAGTAAATTGAGAAGGTGTATGTTTGAGAATTGGAGCAGTTGGTCGAATGTTCAAAGCTGGAAAGCGTTTGTATACCAGAAGAAAGTTCTGTGGACATCCAAAAAGTAGTAATAGCACAGCGAGTCATTTGCATTGTACAGTTGGCCCTTGAACAACAGGTTTGAATTGAGCGAACCCACTTATACGTGGATTTTTTTGATAAATACAGTAATGTAAATGTATTTTTCTTCCTTAGGATTTTCTTAGTAATAGTTTCCGTTCTCTAGCTTACTTTATTGTAAGAATAGAGTGTATAATAAACGAAGTATGTGTTAATCAGCTGTTTATTGGCAAGGCTTCTGGCCAGCAGTAGGCTATTAGTAACTAAGTTTTTGGAGAGTCAGAAGTTACGCATGGATTTTCAATTGCATGGGGTGGGGGGCTGGTGTTCCTAACTCCCGCATTGTTCAAGAGTCACCTGTACTTTTAAGAAACGGTATGTTTGGATTCATTTTCTCAGTTCAAAAAGCAGCCTCTGAGGCAGGACGCCTGTTTTTAATATTTTACAGCTGAACAGACTAAGCTCCCGTCTGTGACTTCTCCAAGTGTTGAAGCAGTAGACTTGGAGGTCCAGGCCAGGTTCTTTTCTTCTTAGACACACTGCTCTTCTGTTCTGTAACACCGGTGTCTACGGAGGGCTAGAAAAAATTCCAGTCCTTTAGAGTTACTTTGTGGTTTTATTATTGTAGTAGGTAATTCAGTTAGTGCAGTACCTGTTTTTAGATACAGCTAACATTTGTGGGTGGTTTTAAATAAATAATTCCTTTAGTATTTCCATTTTAAGTTATAAAATATTTTTAAAGATTCATATGATGTAAAAAGAATGTCTTTTAAGTAACAGTATTCAGCCAGATATTTCTACCAACCCCAGAAATTTCTGAACCTAATGAGGCAGATTAGAAGAGGTTTTTCTTGTAACTGAAGTGTAAAACACTAAAACTGTGTGCTGATAGGGTATGTTCTGCAAGTCCTAAGACATGGGCTCAAGGTCTTGACTCATGATGTAGTTGTGTGAGGTGAGTCAGGTCACATGGGCCCTTCTGTCTGTTCCTTGAATGTAAGATTGGGACCTTAGACTATAACCCCCCCTCCAAACCTAAATTTCTCTAAACTTAAGTCTAGCTGTAAACTTCTGTAATTTTATTACTTGATTTCAATGGTTTCTTATTAATCATCCTATCAGGGTTTTTTTTCTTCCCCTCCCCCCCCAAAAGATTTATTGAACAAGTAATTGAAATGAGCTAACTTTAACATTTTATTTCTGGTTGTATGAGTGGTGTGTTTTATACAAGTTTTTAAACCCAGTTTTGTTCAAAAGATAAATTTAGGAAGCAAGCGAAATGTAGTAAAAGTAATTGTAGAAAACTGTGCTTGATGTTAGGAATGCTCAGTCGCTTTGAGCCGTGAGCATTTTCATGGTACCTTCCATGGTTCTTAGCCTCTGCCGGTAACTCTGGGTTTGTGCTGCCTGTGGTTTTCAGCTGCGTCGGTGGCTCTCACAGTAGCAAGGAAGGCAGAAAATAGTGTTCCTGATTCTTCATTATATATGAAAATATGAGATAAATATAAATGAAATGGATAGAGTTGGGTATTATTAAGCTAGAAAACAGTTTTTATTTATTTTTTTAAATTTAAAATTTTATTTTGTTACGTTATGTTATTCACCATACAATACATCATTAGCTTTTGATGTAATGATCCACGATTCATTGTTTGCGTGTAACACCCAGTGCTCCATGCAGTACGTGCCCTCTTTAATACCCATCACCGGGCTAACCCATCCCCCCACCCCCCTCCCCTCTAGAACCCTCAGTTTGTTTTCTGGAGTCCATAGTCTCTCATGGTTCATCTCTCCCTCTGATTCCCCCGCTTCATTTTTCCCTTCCTTCTCCTAATGTCCTCCATGCTATTCCTTATGTTCCACAAATAAGTGAAACCATATGATAATGACTTTCTCTGCTTGACTTATTTCACTTAGCATAATCTCCTCCAGTCCCATCCATGTTGATGCAAAAGTTGGGTATTCATCCTTTCTGATGGCTGAGTAATATTCCATTGTATATATGGACCACATCTTCTTTATCCATTCATCTGTTGAAGGGCATCTTGGTTCTTTCCACAGTTTGGCTGTTGTGGACATTGTCACTATGAACATTGGGGTGCAGGTGCTCCTTCTTTTCACTACATCTGTATCTTTGGGGTAAATACCCAGGAATGCAATTGCTGGGTCATAGGGTAGCTCTATTTTTAATTTTTTGAGGCACCTCCACACTGAAGAAAACAGTTTTTAAATAAATTCCTGCAGCTTACACTATGGAATCTTTTCAAGAAAAAAAAAAAAGATTGTTTTAGCTCTTGTAACTCATTTAAGCAGGGTATGCAAACTGTGCTTTTCTTCACTTTGTGATCTGTGTTTGCACCCAGAAAGGTCCAAGAACTGTGAGCACTGGGGATGTGGGTTTTTCTAACTCCAGAGCCAGATAGCTTGAGGCAACAGTAGGATAGCTCATCAACTTGCCATTTTGCTGTGGGGACACTTGGGGCGGCTGAGGGACGGGAGCAGCCACTTGCAGCCTGATGAGCTCCTTCCTGGGTTCTCTGAACACCATGGGTTTTCTTCTAACTGTGGAAGGGAAGAAGGGAGCTTGCTCTGTTCCTCTACATTCTTCTGGCTTTGTGATGATAAGCAGGAAAGGGAGAAAGCAATAAATGCTTAGGGGCCAGCCTTGAATCCAGTGAAGATGTGTAACGGAGTGTTTGGAAATGTTTTTTCCTAAATGTGGATTTGTGCTTATAGCAGCACAGTATCAAAACACAGAAGATTTGACTACCTAACATGAAATCACAATGAAAGTTAGTGAAGGGAGTGTTATTTAGTTTGTTCTTCCCATATAGTTTGGGCACTTGCTCTGTACAAGGTGCCATTTGAAACAATGAAATGTAGTCTGGTCTGAAGGCCGATTGTTTGTGGGCAGAACACATCTGGTTTATGTATACAGATGCTCCTGAAGTAGTAATTTCTATTGTGAGAACTACATAAGAAAAGTAAGGTATTTAGAATTAGCTAATCATTTGGCCTCATAGGCAGAGTTGGCCAACTTTGGAAAGAGGTTAGCGATATTTTATAAAATGGCAAGCACACGGCACACGCTCCTATTGAGCGCGGGAAAACCATCGTTACTCAGTCAAAATTATGTTCCTATCCAGTTTCTTGTATGTCCTGTATATTAAAAATTGGTGTCTTGATTGTGTGATTTTGGTGTGTTGAGTGAGAATAATTATTCGTGGAAAGATGTAGTCACTGGTTCTGTTTTTCAGATGTTTGAAATACCAGTGGAATTGTAGATGGGCAAGTTAAAAACTTAAAACACATTCACAGTTTTGTATATGACTTTTTAATAAATTCATATGCTTATTTTGTTGGTGTTTATTAAGCATAACTCAATTATGTTGTCCTACAAGTAGCCTAAAAATGACTCAACTAAAAGGGTTACAATGGAGGCCTAAACATGACCAGGACCTCTTGGCCTAGTGTTACGGTGTAGAGCCTGGGACTTTGCAGGATCTCGGATCCCATCTTACCTGTGCTCTCTATGAGCTGGGGAGCTTTTGGGCAAGCAGTTCACATCAGAGACTTGGGTTTCGCATTTGTAAGCTGGTGACAGGAAAACTACGCATTCTCAGGAGATTGTTGAGAGGATTATATGAGAGATGCAAAAATATGTATGCTCCTAATAGAGTGTGTAGCAAATACTTGCTACTCTAACTTTATTATTAATGACTTAAGCAATCATTTGTTTCTAACAGTTATACCTCCTGTCAACTTCTCTTACAGTAGTAACATAATACCTCACTGGTTGAGGTTCTGTGAGACCTCATAGTGGGGTGTGGCTGCGTTCCAGCACTCCCAAGAAGGGTCTTGTTGGAGTAAATTCCCTGCATGAAAACAATGCCAGGGTCTTAAAAAATAAAAAAGGAAATTTGTGAAGGGAAACCTTTTCCAGTATTTTAAATGCTTATAGCATTCATTAACATAAAAATAATTGACATGCTTATTACCAATATTGTTTATTCATTAAATTACATCTCTAAGGAATAGTATAAGAATAAAATGTCCTGTGAACCTCACTGTACATACTCTTTATATTTAGCAAAATGAAACTGTATATATTTGAAAAATTCAGTAATTCAGATTTACTTATTAATTGCTGCTATCTTTTCAGATAAGTAGTTATAACCACTGAAGATTTTTACCCCCTTAAACCTTATTTGGAACCTTAAGGAGGAGAGGATCATGAGAAAAGATAATTACTAACTTACTATAGTAATTCAGTAAATTTGCCATCTGGATAACAGCTTTTTAGAGTTTGAGTATAGAGGCAGAGGAAACTGAAATTAATATTGGTTTCAGAGAACATGTACCTGGGAAACTGCCATGATCATTCCATCTTTTCATACCAAGGGGATGGTGATTCTTTCCTGTTAGGTCCACTGTCACCTTACAGACAACTCTCTTTTTAGTTAGTGTGGGTTAAGTTGGTTAATTATCCCAAAACTCCAGACATTTCTGTGAGGCCTTGGTATGATGCATTTGCTGTCTCTCAGCACGTCAAATTGACCTGAGCATCCTTGGAGAGGGGCTGTGCTCTAGGGGCTTCTGGCTCAGTAGATTTTCCTGGCTTCAGTGTCTGTGAGAGCTAGACAGGAACCCATGGATGGCTAGTGGTGGTGACTGTAGGTACCTTGATATAATTAATTGGTTTTGAGGATCTGTTGATCCTAGTTGGGACCCCTTTACTGGTGGAAGAGTAGGGTATGAACAGTAGTCCAGGATCATTGACATGCCATTTCAGTATGTGTATGGAGGGTGGTCTCTGCTCTATCCCCCATCTAGCAGGAAGCTCACAGTTGAACTCTGACTACCTATTGGATGATGAAGGAGATGCAGTTTAGAATTAGGGCGGGGTTAGGGAGGGTTGTTAATGGAATATGGTTGAAATTAGTTTTTAAAAGTTTCATGAGCTTTAAGGTGTTTTCTGCAACTTATTTGTGATCAGCTCCTAATGTAATTGTAAGTAGAGATTTTGGTATAATGGATTCATTTGTTTATTCAACAGATATTTATTAAACATCTATGTGCCCACCACTGTTTTAGGCAAAGGGAATACAACGCTGAACAAAGGAATCCCTGACCTCATGGAGTTTTTCGTGTAGTGGAAGGAGAAGGAGAAAAAACTAAAACCAGTAATGAGTAAATATAGTATATCAGGTGGTGATAGGTGCTAAGGGGGAAAGGGAATATGGAGGGTAAGGTCGGGCATGTTATCATGAGAATGTTTTCCTCAGTTGTGTTAAAAAAAAAAAACAAGTGCAGGGGCTCCTGGGTGGCTCAGTTGGTTAAGTGTCTGACTCTTGATCCTAGCTCAGGTCTTGATCTCAAGAACGGGGAGCCCACTTTAAAAAAAAAAGAAAGAAACAAGTACTCTCAGCTAGAGTCTGGGGGTGCTGGGAGCTGCACTTCTGCAGTGCCATGCTCTGCTCCTGCTCCATGGCCGCCTTGCTTTGCTTCGTGGGGCCAAGTGGGTCCTGAAATCCTGTCCTGGGAAGCCAAACGTGGGGTTTGTCTTTGTCTTTGCCTGCTGTCAACCAAGTGAGGCTTTAGGAATAATTCAGGAGCTTTTCCTTGTATGGTGGAGAAGCCCTCTTTGGGCAGCATCCTGTGTGTCTCCTGGCCCCCGGGGGTCTGCTCCTACTGTTTAATCTGAGGAACAAGATCGAAAGCCTTGGGCAGCTGGCACATTATCTTCTAATTTCATTTATTTGTTCCAGTGGTTGTCCTCATTGGAATCCGGTTGAAAGAGATAACTGAGAGAGGATGTATAATCTTCTAATGTAGTTGTCTTTTTTTTTTTAATACATACACACAGGTTGCAGAAGAGAAGGGATTTATACCAGTGAAGTATAGTTAAAGTGCTAGTTTTTTCTGTCTATTTAAGGTGATGCCTGATATTGTCATGTTACAGAGGCGGATGCCCCAAACCTTCCGTGATCCAGCAACTGCTCCCTTGAGAAAACTTTCTGTTGACTTGATCAAAACATATAAGCATATTAATGAGGTAAGACTACTGATTTGTTTTAACAGCATATCTTACAATAGACCAGGACAGAAAAGTTATTTTGTGGCCCCTTTAAATACAGTAAACTTTATTCCCAGTGATTGTAATATTGCTGATTATTGGTAAGTTAATGATTTATAGATAATATAATTATAATCATGTAAAAGAAAAAAGATCTATTAACAGAGACTGCCAAAAATTAAGATACTTGGGGATAACTTCTAAAGTTGTTTTTAATATATGGTAAGATATTATTTCTGTAACAACTCAGAAGAAAGGAAGGGAATAATGACACTGTAAAATTATATATATGTTAGAATTTTGTTTAAGTTTTTATATATCTGTTTCTGTTTTTGCCATGGATGTCAGGAAGCTCAGAGATCTATTTAATACCCATTTAACAGGCATTTGTCCTAGTTTATTTGATATATTTATATTTCTGTGGTTTTAAATTGTCTTTTAAATTTTTATGTGTGTTCTTTTATTGTAAGATACTTGAAAGCCTTTTTGGTGGATGTAAATAGAATAAAAAAAAAAACAAAACAAAAACCAGAGCACTTGAATTACTCCTATTCCAACTTGGCCCTTCACTTCCATAACATTTTTTTTCTGGTGTCTTAGACCTTTGACTTAATTGCCATTTGCTTCTAGCCTCAGCTCTAGCTCTGTAATTAATTATGAAATGAACTTTTCTGGAGAAGAGTGGATGTGCTTGTCCCTCCTTTCCTCTTCATGGGAGCCCTGCGTCCTGTCCTTCTAAAGGCTTCTCTACCAGCTCTAGAGCCGTTTAACTAAAAGGATGTTCTTATTCTTAAGTATGTGTAAATTTTACTGCAGTTTGACGCTGTTTAATGCCAGTGTCGTTCTGTTACTGTGGCAGTGTGGCAAGAGAAGATGTGCCAAACTAGCTTTTGATTACTTGAAAACTCTGATAAATTATTAACAGTTTATTCATGTCAGTTTGTTAATATCTGGAAATTGTTAACAAAGCTATTGTTACGCTTTGGTGAAAAAAGTTTCACAGTAGCTTTGCTGAAGCTTGTTTTTAACTGTTTGGCCACCTTGTAAACAAGCGTTGTTCTGATGTTATTCTATGCAGTGTACCTTATAATTTCCTCAGTTAGTTACCAGTTACTTGGACTATTGCCTAGTCTACCTGTTATTTTTTACTGGTATTAGAAACAGTTTTGTAAGAAAAACACATAGAAGGAAAAGAACTCAACTGTGATCAGCCACAGGATTAATGGCCTTTAGTGTGGGGGAAGGGAGGGAGTGGCTAGTTTTCACTAATTGTCACTTTGTTAGAGGCTTAAAAACTGGGCGTGTCTCAGAGGGCCTTTTAGTAGAATTTCACTTCATCTATATCTCAACTTTCATATTTAAAACTTTTTGCCTTCTGGGACGCCTGGGTGGCTCAGATGGTGAAGCGTCTGCCTTCGGCTCAGGTCATGATCCCAGGGTCCTGGGAGCCAGTCCCTCATCAGGCTCCCTGCTCAGCGGGGAGTCTGCTTCTCCCTCTGCTTCTGCCTCTCTCTCTGTCTCTCATGAATAAATAAAAGCTTAAAAAAAATAAAACTTTTTGCCTTCAGAGCAAATGTAAAATTGGGATGGACTGGCAGAGGGCATGCAGGATATGGACATGAGGAGGATGAAAATGCTGTTTATTTGGTTTGGCGTTTGCTGATTACATCGGCATCTCTATATATTTTTCCCCCCAAACCCCTCATATTAACTCTTAAGAGCTATGCCACCTCATTGTATACAAATTTTACCCTAGTTTAAGAAATAAATGTAAATCGGGCCCTGTTAGTCTTCTTGAATGGGCTACTTTGGACTAGTCACTTAACATCTATTTATAAAATGTACAAACAGTATTATTGAAAAGTGAATTTCAGGGTAGACATTTTTCATTGGTTATATATCAGTGTTATGTAATTCAGATAGCAACTGTAGAAAATTCTTAATTTCATTTTTTTGTATTTGTTAATGAAGGGTAAAAATTCATCAGTTTCCTCCTGATGGCAGACTTGTCTCATATATATTCTTGATATATATGATATATATGTGTGTATATATGTATATGCCTCCCGCTAACCCCCAAAGATTTAAATTATACAGTAAGCACTGTATACTCTCATTTCAGGTTTACTATGCAAAAAAGAAGCGAAGACACCAACAGGGCCAGGGAGACGATTCTAGTCATAAGAAGGAGCGGAAGGTTTACAATGATGGTTATGATGATGATAACTATGATTATATTGTAAAAAACGGAGAGAAGTGGATGGATCGTTACGAAATTGACTCCTTGATTGGCAAAGGTTCCTTTGGACAGGTAATTTAATGGAAAATGCTGAATTTCCTAAATTAGAACTTCCTAGTGAATCATGTTGTTACACCTTTCCCTCAGTAGTATGCTTTCAGTGTTTGTAAATCCATGTAAACAATGGATATGTGAGTATTTGGATTATCATAGTTCTTTAAAGCTAGTAAAACTACATCAGGTCTAAAAATTCCATTATACTTTCTTTGTCCATATTTACTCTCTAGAGCTATCTAGTGCTTATCTTACTAATGACTGAGTGGTAGATTGTAATCACTAATAGGAAGTATTGCCCCTTTTGTATAGTCTGTAGATGATTCTTTGATGTGGATGCTAGAAATAATTACCTTCCTGTCTGATACTCCTCTTCAGAAAGATAAGAGTTCCGTTGGCACAGCAGGTGCCCTGTCACTTCTTTGGAGTCTGGGAAAGCCAGGGGCTGTGCCCTGGGTTTTCCTCTCACCTTATCTTCTGCTACCAGGCCTTGAAGTGGACAGATGGTCTTTAGGATTTCCTCTTCCTGTTCTCACAGCACCAGTATGGCTGATACTGTGATGGGGTGGTTTGTGATGGAAAGCCTCATTCAGCAGCTTCTGGCAGGAAGAGTGAGGAAGGGGCTTCCCAAGAGACCTGGTGTTTCTCTTCATTTCTGTCCTCTCCTCCACGCACAGCTCTACCCTCCTCACCTGCCCATCCAGCCTCAGTACAAAGCACAAAACCCTGAATACGTCTGTCTCTTGTATCAGCTGTGCTCAGACTGAGAGCCATCACACCTTCGTCCTTGCACTTTTAAGAAACTTTTTCTCTGGCTGTGGACCCCCCAGCTGCTCCCGCTTGTCAGTCCTATCTCATCAAAAGAAACTTTTTCTCTGGCTGTGGACCCCCCAGCTGCTCCCGCTTGTCAGTCCTATCTCATCGAGTCACTCGGTTTGGTTTGGTTTGAGGTGTGCTTTACTGTTGATCGTAGTCTCCTTTGCCTTGCACACTCTGTGTGGTGAGTCCATTATTAACTTGCAGTCCAAACACTTCTTCTGACTTTTCAGTAATGAGGATAGAATGGGGTTCAAAAGGACTTTTCCTGAACTATCTCCTTTTTTGTGTGTGTGGAACCTGCATGCTCTTATTTACCTGTTCCTGCCCTGAGATAAAGGAAAAAATGCCTCTTTTCAACCTGTGAGGGAAAATTCTTCATGTGTCAGTCTAATCATGCTTAGGACAAAAAGTAGATAGTAGGTCATGAGCAGTCACAGGTGTAGACCCAGAAAAATTGTAGCTATTAAACCTGTAAGGAGATACGCGCAAGGTTGCTAGAAGACCTCCGTAATTCCAGTGTGGCTCTTCAAGGCCCTCATGTCACCTACATAAAATACCTGTCCCTTTCCATGATTTCAAGGAATTTCGGTAATTGTACATAACTCAGAGAACTTTTCCTTGATTTGTAAGCTCTTTTTTCTTTGAGTCAGGGTTTCTCAGTATTTTGGGAGTCCTTTTTTATGAAATACTACTTTTTTGTGAGAAGCAGCTTCTTCTCTATCAGTCTGTTAAGGAGAGGCATTTCTGAGGCTCAGCTTTTAGTAAGGCGATGAACAACACCCTAGATAGAGGAATCGCTATCTCCATCTTGAAAATTACACCACCTGTTGAGGCAGTTGCCTTCAACAGGACATTTTTCTAACTAATGTGTTATCTACCATGAAAACTGTGGCCATACAGCAGACTCTCTAAACTTTGTTTTCCTTTTTTTTAGTTTTCCCTAAATAGTTAGTCTTTGAGTTTAGAGTGATGTTTTTCTCCTCCTCTTCACTTTAATTTTCTCATACTTTAATTCCTAAGAGCAAGTGAGCATAATTAGACCTTTGAAAGTAGAGGCCTATTTGGGACATCACACCCCATCTCATCAGGTAAAACTGATGCGTCTCTTAAGCTTAGGGGTGTTCAGGTTCCGGACCTGTCACTCACCCAGTAATGTTTTCCATACTGTCTTGGTCAGACTTTCCCTAAATCTCTGCCAGATCCTTGTCATATAAGGGGCTCCTTCATTTCTTCAGCCAGTGGTTGCTGTCGGTCTTGATTGCACATTTAAATTTCCCAGGGAGCTTTGGGGGGTTGGGGGGGTGTGTTGTGGGGAGAGGACTGGTGCCTAGGCTCCAAACCATTTAAATCAGAATCTCTGTGACTGGATCCTGGGCAGTTTGTAGTTTTTCAAACTGCCTGTTGAATGTGATTCAGGGTCGAAAACCATTGCTTTAGCATTTAGCCAGTTAACTATTTGCTAAGTCAGTAAATAGTTGGGCCCCTGTTGGTGGCCTTTGTCCTGGAGACCATTGGGATCTGGGCATGGAACTGCAACTCTTGGTGCTGTCAATATAGTCAGTGAAACAGAAGAATATCAAAACCACTTGGTCAGATGTTTACATAGGTAGTCTCTGATTTTAAAGACAATAGATAGTATTTTTTAGAATTGGGTGAAACCAGAAATCATTGCATTTTTCATTCTAAGTTTGATTTTAACTGAACCATTTACAGTCCTTGACAGTGTATCTCACCTTGACTGATGTTCCATTCTCTTCCTCCCCTCCAGTGGGACTCAGCCTACACATCGGAATCACATTGGGTTCTCCCTACATCTCCAGACTTTGTGAATGTGCTAGAAAATGGATAAAGCTATTGCCTGTTCAGACTACATAGATTATAAATATGAATTAGGTTTTAATCAGTTATAGTGGGTTGTTTCTGATTTGTGGATAGTTTTATCTATGCATTGATTTACTAAGTTTTATGTAAATCTCTTTGTTAATAATATGAAACTCCTTTTAAATGAGTAAAATTAAAACGAGAGGTGTACATGGTAATTGGCTCATGAGCACTCCACTTCCCTTGGCATTGATTCTGTAACTATCAAGACCATCTGATTGTGGCTTTTAACTTTTATCATGGAACTTTCCTGGTCATTTGTATTAGATTTGTCTTTTGTTTAAATACCTGTGTTTTAATTTATGAAAATCTAATTTAAGGTTAGGAAGTTATCTACATTTTTCAAATGACTTAGAACCTTTTAAATATTTTATGTGTATGATTGAGATTTAAACCAAGTTCTTTCTCCCATTAAAAGAAGAGTTAGAAGAATTGTTCTTACAGTGGGGTTATTCAGTAAGAAAGGTAAAAAGCCAAAGCACTTGACAGGATTTATTACTTACTTCTGGAGGAAAAGAGTTAATCTAGCTTTGTTAAAAGAAAGTGATATTGTGGATATTTAGAAATACTGTAAGGATACAAAAGAAATTTGATTGAAAAGATTGACTTTGGGACGCCTGGGTGGCTCAGTCGAGTAAGCAAGCGTCTGCCTGTGGCTCAGGTTGTGATCTTGGGGTTCTGGGATCGGCCTGTGTGGGGCTTCCTGCTCAGCGGGGAGTCTGTTTCTTCTCCTTCTCCCCCTCCCACCAGTCGTGCTCACATGCTCTCTCTCAAATAAAGAAATAAAATCTTTAAAAAAAAGATTGACTTAAAATTGACTGTAAAGTAATAAATGGATGATACTGAATGGAAATGAATAGGACCTCTTCTACTTAAGGAGGTCAGAAAAATGAGAATTAGGTGAATATACAATTAAGGTGAATTGTAAAATGTTAGGAAATTATGGCCACTAATGAAACAGAGAATTATTCATCTTTTTTCTCTTTTAGGTTGTAAAGGCATATGATCGTGTGGAGCAAGAATGGGTTGCCATTAAAATAATAAAGAACAAGAAGGCTTTTCTAAATCAAGCCCAGATAGAAGTGCGACTTCTTGAGCTCATGAACAAACATGACACTGAAATGAAATACTACATAGGTAAACAAACAGGAAAACAAAGCCATGTGTTCTCATATGGACCAGAAGTTTGAGTTAACGGTTATTTATGTATGAAAATATGTTGATTTTTATCTTAAAGTGCTGGGTTAAAAATTCAACTTTTTATTTCTGTTGGAGGGCGTAGATTTATGTAAATTACTTGATCTGGCAGTAATATTCTAGATCTTGGGGAATGTGCCTTCCAGGTGGTGTTTGATTTAGAAACAAACAAGAATAGTGTCATAATTTGCAACTTACTAGTGCCATTTGTTTGCTTTAATGATGCACTTTTATCCAGGGGTCCTCTTTTTGGTAACTTTAACCATTTCTAATATAGCTTAGAAATTAGAAGTAAGCTAACATATTATAGAACCAGTTTTGGAATGTGTGAGCCAAGATCTCAGGCTCCTCCCCAGGCTCTGTCAGTTTGGCAGCATTAGAAGCTGTTAAGACTTAAAAACTACAGCAGAAAAGAGGTGTAATAGCCACTTTTTAATGAACTGCTATCATATTCCTCGTGCTTTTCTCCATCATCTGTAATAGTCATATCAGTCCTGTAGGAAAGTGGTGGAATCCTTATATTATAGACAGTTTATACAAAGAATAACATAACCAAGTTCCCATGGCTCTGCAGCTAGCATCTGAAACTACTTCTGCCTGAGTCTAGACTAGACTGTGTTTGTTTCATTGTCTTATAGTGTTTCTCCTGAAAACGAAAAGGAGATAGAAGAATTATGAAAATAGTGAAGCTAGGGGCACCTGGGTGGCTCAGTTGGTTAAGCATCTGCCTTCAGATCAGGTCGTGATCTCAGGGTCCTGGGATTGAGCCCTGCAATGGGCTTCCTACTCAGTAGGGAGTCTGTTTCTCCCTTTCCCTCTCACTCTGCCCCTCCCTTGTGCTCTCTCTCTCTTTCTCAAATAAGTAAAAATCTTTAAAAACATTAGTGAAGTCTAGGATCAGTTGATATATGGGCATAACATAAATAATTATGCCTTCGTTAATACTGTTCTCAGTCAAATCTGTGATGCTAATGATTGTAAGACCCCATTATTTTATGTGCCACTGAGAAATTGTTGCCAAGTACAAATGTAAGATGCCATCAATTTTAGGATTGAGACCTTAGGATCAATTAACTATAGAAGTTCCTGTAGGCATGTATACATAGCAACTGTTGTTCAGAAATGTTGGCTTTACCTGATAAACATAAGGTTAAATTTTATGTAACAACTTGTTATGAGTAAGTAGGGCATTATGGTTCTTTAGTTTGTCCAAAACGGTGGAAACAAAAAAAATGGATGTTTAAAAATGTAAGATTCAGATACCAAGATTAGATTTCATTTATGAACACCCTTCATTCCCCAGTATTACAATAAAATGAGCTTATACTATTAATTTTTCTTTCTTGGTTTCTTCTCTGTAGATATCTGATATCCATAGTAATAACATTTGTATTTAAAACCTTTTCATATTCACTGAGCATTTACTGTTCAGTGTCAGTTATAACTTAGTGTAAGTTTGAGCCTCTTTCCATTCAAGGGACATAGAAGCACAAGATGGACATTCGAAGGATACTTGACTTACAAAGTAATCTGTGGACGTACCTCCCCACTTCTTCCTCCTCACTCTTGTGTATTGTATTTTGAATATTTGCTTAAGTAGTAGAGAAAATGTTGATAGCATTACTGTAACATTTTAATTCTGCCTTATTGAAAGAAAACATGACAAATATATAGTAAGTATTCAATAGGTGCTATCCACTTGGTTGTACATAATGATGCCTGTCATTTTTATTTTTAATAAACTGACTTTAATGATTATTAGTTGTACTAATCATGATAGTTGTTTTTTGGATGAGTTATTTTTTTAAGTTCTAAGGGTGAATGCACAGTGTCTCAAGAAACTGAGGTTCTATATTGGAAGGCAAACAAGAACTTTAGATTTAGACCTCGCCCTGCCAGGAGAGTTGATACTTAAATTTAAGATGTCTCAAAGTCATATTGCTCTTTTATGATATAAATAACTTAGTTTTGTTTTAGAATAAATATAATTTATTCTATTGAGTTTTTTAAGTCTTTGAAACTTTAAAAAAAAAAACTCACCTGTATTACTTGGTACCTGTCATGATCTAGTTAAAAGAAAATTCAGTTTAGGTCTAGAACAGAGTCTTTCTGACCCTCCATTATCCCCAAAGTTCAGTTTAAAAAATACGTTAAATATACTTGTGTTTGAGATTTCTTTGACGGTGTCTTTAGTGCTCAGTACATTGTAGGTACTCAGTAAATGAATAATGAATTGGGAGGTCAAGTGGAACCAAGTGGATTGATCTTCCACTGGAAGAACTTCTTTTCTTTTTTGAAATAGGCTCCATGCCCAGTGTGGGCTTGAACTCATGACCCTGAGATCAAGAGTTGGATGCTTACTGACTGCGCCAGCCAGGCGCCCCCATTCGAAGAACTTTCTAATCACAGAGCTTCTTAAAGGAATTTTTATAATTACACTGGAATTCTGGCATCAGTTACTTTTTTGCGTTCTTTTTTGTGATCATTGCTTAATCAAATTAAAACTCTTGACCATGTCTCTGGGGGGTGTCTTTATTGCATGTGAAGCTCTGTTTTTAGTATTAAACCTATGAACTTCAGTGATTAAGAGCAGCTATTACACATTTTTTTTTTTTTTAAGATTTTATTTATTTTTTAGAGAGCGAGAGAGAAACAGCATGAGAGGGGCAAGGGTCAGAGGGAGAAGCAGGCTCCCCGCTGAGCCGGGAGCCCGATGTGGGACTCGATCCCAGGACCCTGGGATCATGACCTGAGCCGAAGGCAGACGCTTAACCATCTGAGCCACCCAGGCGCCCGATATTACACATTCTTTTTTTTTTTTTTTAAGATTTTTTTTTTTTTTATTTGAGAGAGAGAGCACAAGAGGGGGGAGCGGGAGAGGGAGAAGCAGACTCCCTGCCGAGCAGGGAGCCCAATGCGGGACTCGATCCCGGGACTCCAGGATCATGACCTGAGCCGAAGGCAGTCGCTTAACCACCTGAGCCACCCAGGCGCCCCCCGATATTACACATTCTTAAATAACCTTTTAAGGATTCTTTTTATTTGTAAAAATAAAAGTGTTGAGTTGTACTGAGGACTCCTATAGAGCTATGTAGTATTTGTATCGTTATTTATCCTAACTTTGGATCATGTGTATCAAGAATGATGTAAAAGCAGTGTTGATGTGCACTGCTCCCCAGGAGGCAGTCCAGGACAACACAGTGTATCCCTCGTTCTCAGGGACCAGACCTTGAATACCAACACAGGTTATTCCAGATAGATCTATAGAGAAACCTGTTTTTAGGAAACTAAAAGACCAAGATGAAGGTAACCTTGACAGATGGTGGTTTTATGTCATTCCATTTGAGTTACAGGTGTTCAGTTTGGTACATATAACAATTTTACAGTGAAGGGCAGCACTTTATTGAATGACCTCATCTGATGCGTAGTGTTAGTACTAAAAGCACAATCTTTGAAGCAATTTAGTGAGTATTAAGCCTTTTTAGAGGGTCAGCAGTGATAGCATGTAATGGCTTCTATGCTCTTTTCTCATTCATAAGCCTGCTTATAATTTCTTCTTGTGATTGAGCTCTATTTTCAAGTTTTCCCAGACCTCAGTTGTGCACAAGATATAACATGTACCAGTTTGATGAACATAATCAAATGCCTTGATTATGAACTCTAGTATCTTGTAAAGCATGCTTTTCAAGTATTTGTTGTATTTGCCTAAAAGACAAAAAGATCTATGTCTTCCTTTGACAGTTGTTGCAGAAAATTACTAGTGAGATCTAAGGCTCAGCACAGTGGAATGTGGACATGTATCAGAGCCTGAAAGCCTTCCCAGAGACAGCTGCCAAGTACAGCATTTTCACAACCTGGAGATCCCAGTGGGTGGAGCTTAGGTGAAGTTGTGAGGTTGGGCTCTGAGGAAGAAAAAATGCTTTCTTGTAGAAGTGAGCGTGAAATTACTGAAGTATTCTTAGTACTGTTTGTCACTTTGCTACTTGTGTTTTCAGACCTTTTTTTTTTTTTTAAGCAAAGCATTTTGGTGGTACTTCTTACATTATATTGTTTATTGGCAGACACCACACCTGTTTAATTCAGCAGATGAACAATTTAGATATTCCCGACTGATTATAGAATGTGCTGTCACTGCAGAATGCCGATCTCCAAATTTTAACTTGATTTTCACTCTACATTTGACATTGAAATGTTGGAGATTGAGAGTTCATGCATACATTATTCTCATTTTATTGGTATGTATAATTTAAAATGAAACTTTTTTCTCTTTCAGTGCATTTGAAACGCCACTTTATGTTTCGAAACCATCTCTGTTTAGTTTTTGAAATGCTGTCGTACAACCTCTATGACTTGTTGAGGAACACCAATTTTCGAGGTGTCTCTTTGAACCTAACACGAAAGTTTGCACAACAGATGTGCACTGCACTGCTTTTCCTTGCGACTCCAGAACTTAGTATCATTCACTGTGACCTAAAACCTGAGAATATCCTTCTTTGTAACCCCAAACGCAGTGCAATCAAGATCGTTGACTTTGGCAGTTCTTGTCAATTGGGGCAGAGGGTAAGTATATTCAGGACTTGTGAATTAAAATAGAATTAGGTAAAACAGTGTTGGTAGATACTTGAAATGTTATTAATATGTATACAATTTGGAGGTAATTACAGGATGGTTATCCTCAAAATGTGCCACTCTAGTCACATTGTGTTGAAACCTGTTTTGGGGACATAGCACTTAAAATGCAAATATAAGATTCTGAATTAGAAGGTATTGGTTTTTTTAAAAGTAGATTTTTAAAAATTATATGTATGCCTAAGAGGCAGAGAGAATAGGAGATGAGTTAATTAAGTGTTAGGTGATTTGCAGCTATATTTTGCAAGTAGAGGTGTTAGTATGAATTTGGGGATATTCCAATACTAGAACATTGAATCCTTGCTGTGAAATTCTTCTCTAAAGATAGATCAAGATAAATGGTTTTCTCCAAAAACTGATGGGTTTAAAAACATACAGGTAATTTTACATTACACATGGTGATACAGTATAGAAATTACGCAGTTGGTTAGACATACTTGTTTTGATAAATAAGTTTAAATCTTTTTTCCCCTATATAAATTCTGACACTTGTCCAAACTGGTTTTCCTCAGACTGCTAAAAACAGACCTTTCTGTAGCAATGATATAGATTTACGTTTAGCTGATTTAAGAAAGCAGATTTTTCCTACTATTCTTTCTAGTGTTATGAAAGCTACTCTTAACAGTGTTTCACATATAAAGTAGAAGTGATAGGTTGCTTTCTTCTTGAAAGGAATTAAAATCATCACTTGGTAATATTTTACTCATTTCAAACACTGTTCCTATTTACTTGCAAGTACTGAAACTGCATTTCTTGGGGAAAAAAAAGAAAAACTACAAGTAACATTCAGATACTATTTCATACGGTCTTTCTAGCTTTTGTTTTTCCAAATTAGTGAGAGTTCTTGTCCTGTGCAACTTTTTTCCGTGTTTTAAATATGGCTGGTTAATTTGATCATGAAGATTTATAGTCCGCTAACCAGGATTATCAGGCTTGTTCTTTTCTGCAACTTACTCATGGTAATGGTGTTATATAGATCACTGAAATAAATTGAAGGAGTAGGAAGCAAAGTTTGCAGTTTCAGATGCCTCTGAAAATCAGGAGCTGTTCATAGTTGTTAATGTGGGATAAAGTATATTGTGAATGGAAAATACATGCCCATCTTGAGAGTCATTTGAATAAATTTAGATTTGGAAAAATTTTCCCCCCACTTAAACAAAATCATGTGTTCTGTACTAATATCAAACACTACTATGTCTCTCCAGCCAAACTTAGACAACTATCCTTCTAGCTCAGTGAGGTTTGAACTGTGTGAGCGTATCAGATTAGAATGAGAGATCCTTTCTAAAATACACACGCAGTGCGTGGCCCTGCACTAGATATACTGGCTCAGTCTCACAAGGTGGCAGGGCAGGGGTATTTCAGGGGGATTTTGGTGCACAACCTCTCAGATGACCCAGCCACTGCTTTAACCAAACCGAATGGATGATTGACAAACTTCCTTGCATAAGCTAGGGAATAAGACAATCTCAGTAGTAGGGAGTCTTTGGGGCTTACCAGTGCTGTTGGCTTGTAGAACTTGGGAATGTAATACTTCTTCCTGGTCCCTTTGGTCAGTTTCTTTACTCTAACAAGGCATTAATGTTGGGTTGACCTGCTTATGGGGGGCATCAGGTTATTCTTGGAGATTTGACTGGAGTTTTAGGTGGGAGCCACAAAAGCGTTCATGGGAAAGCAGCACCGTGCTGCTGGCCGCCTAGTTAGTGTTAAGTGAGGAAGTTAGGAGGATTTTGTTTTCTTTCTCTTTTTAAATAAAACTTTGTTTTCACAATATTTCTAGATATAAATTTACAATGGCTAAGTGAAGATGAAATGGTTTTTTTTAAGACATTCTCTGATTACTTCATTGAAAATTAACCATTTCAAGATTTTCTAAGAAGTTTTAGATTGAGGGGGAAGAGGACAGGGAGGGAAGGAAGTGATTGGTCAGAAACTACTCCCAGTTGAATTTTATGTAGCAATGCTTCTCAGATTTATCTGTGAGACTAGTACAATGTAGATACCTGAATTTTCATTTACATTGTACAGAGTTTGACTTAATGCTGAAATACATTCTTTAGGTGAATTTAAATACAATTTAGTCCTTAAATTAATGGTAAACGAAGTGCCAGCCATAGCAGGAAAGAATAATTAATAAGGAAAAACTGTTCTCAATAATGTCTTTTTTCTAATAAGACATAATTATTTGTTTTAAGGTGTGTATCTTGATTACCAGTTAGGATTGCACTAAATGGGAGGACTTGAATTGTTGTATGTTTTGTATTTCACAGAGTAACCCCTCTCTTGAAATGTTTAGTCGTTTAAATAATATTTGCAGCAGAAGGTTGAAATCACTAAATGGAACCCAAGTTTAGGAGTTAGCCAATTATTTTTTCTGTTAATATTAGATAAGTGTACTTAATTCATTGTGGAGCATAATTAAACAAAACTTACGTTGGAATTAATATGATATTGAAATATATTTCAGATATACCAGTATATTCAGAGTCGCTTTTATCGGTCTCCAGAGGTGCTACTGGGAATGCCTTACGACCTTGCTATTGACATGTGGTCCCTTGGGTGTATTTTGGTTGAAATGCACACTGGAGAACCTCTGTTCAGTGGAGCCAATGAGGTATATGATGGATTGCTTTCAAAACTCTGTTTGTTTTCATAACTTCTTTTTGTTTTTAATCAATGACAGTGTAATCTGAAAATTGTTTTTAAGAAAAGATGTCTATTAATTTAAATATTCAAATGTTGGGACAGTTTTGAATTTAGGATTTGAGATGGGTAGTGAGATCTTTTAATTTGCTATTAAGGAGAATAGTAAGTTAGTAAATGTTAAGCATTCTGGTTTAAATTTTACAGATTTTAGGTATAATGTAATGAAAATGATGATGAAAGGCATGAGGGCCACCCTGAGAACAATGTAAACATCACTGTAAATTTTGAGAGTTGATTTGGAATTTAAGAAGTGATGACCAGTAGCCTTGATAGGTATTTGATCTGAATAATTGAGGGTGAATTAGGATTATAGAATTTTACAGCTACAGACGATGTGTAATTCTAATTCATGGGTTTTCAGTCTGTATTCTCAGAAGATGTTTGGAGGTCAGAGGCAGTGCCTAGGAGGGCATGGGAGAGGCCATGCTCTCTGGCAGTCAGAGGAATTGGTTTAAACCTTATGGGGTTTTTCATTTTTTAAAGGAAAGTTAACCATTACAGATCTTGATCAGTCCATGCATTTATAAATAAGAAAGGCCAACAAAATTTAATGACTTACTTATGCTGGGGTAAACAACTGTTAGTATTGTGTCAGAAATCTGTCCCCTCTATCTTGTTAATTCACTCGAACTAAAGCTAGTGAGCCATTCCTGGGCAGTAACTGGCATAGTGTGTGTTTGGTATTGTTTTGTTATTAGTAATATTACCCTGGAAAGTAGTATCTTTTTCATGGGCTTAAACAGTGCTAAATTAAATTGTATTGTATTAATTATAATTATTTATCAGATAAAAATAATTAAATATGATAAACTAATCAATTATATTCTTGTAAATCACCTGAAACTTCAGTGGCTTCCATTTCATTCATTGTAAAAGCCAAGTCTTTTGAGTGGCTCGAATATTCCTACTCCCTCTGACTCCTGCTTTCTCTCTGTGACCTTGCCTCCCCTCACTCTCTCGGTCCCAGCACAGAGCTTTGCTCTGTGGTCCCTTGGAAACAGTAGCCACAGGCACATACTAACTTTGCATTAGTTCTTTCCTGTGCCTGAAAGGCCCTGTCCCCAGGGAGCACGTGGCTCCTTCCCTCACTGCTTTAGCTCTTCGCCCTCCTACATCTTCTCCGTGATCCCCTAGTACCCGTTGCAGTGCCCCTTGTCACTCTCCATCCCTTTAATTTTCTCCATAGTTCTTAGTTGGCATTGGCATAATATATTTAATTACATATTTGTCTATTAGTGATCTCTTTCCCTATAATATAAACTTTTTGGCAGGGATTTTTGTCTGTTTTGTTTATTGCTATGTTCTGCTGAGTGAGGTTTCTAGCATATGGTTAAGACACTTGGTATTTGAGTGAATGAATCCGCACTTAAAAAAGAATACTTGATTCGGTCCATGATTAAGCCTCTGGGGCTTTTTTTTTTTTTTTTGATGGTTATTTGATTTTATGTGTTTATTTAATTATCTGCCCTGTCCTGTGTGGATTGAGGGGACTGCAGGACGGCAGGGATTTTCTCTCTTTTGTTCATGATTGTATGCTCAGTGCTTGGGGGTGTGCGTGAAACACACAGAAGATACTCGGTTTATTTATAATTTATGAATGAATGAATGAATGAGTGGATGAGCAGAAGTAGGATATACTACAGTAGAAGTTACAGGCTTTTTTATTTTTATTTTAAATACAGGTAGATCAGATGAATAAAATAGTGGAAGTTCTGAGTATTCCACCTGCTCATATTCTTGACCAAGCACCAAAAGCAAGAAAGTTCTTTGAGAAGTTGCCAGATGGCACTTGGAACTTAAAGAAGACCAAAGATGGAAAACGGGTAAAATAGGGAAACTTTCTGTTTTTTGAGCCTTTGTTATTTATTTTACTGGAGTGGTCTTTTTATAGCTCATCTTGTGTTTACTTGACATCCGTGTTTTAGTTAACAATTTCATTAATAATTTAGGCGTATTTCTTTAAAAGTTGGGTAGAGTTTGACCTGAACTGTCTGATGGACCAGTGTTTGTTTCATGGTTAGAGTTAAGACTTCATTTTGAAAACTCTTAGTCTGCTTTGTGAGACAGCCGATCAAACCACCCTGCCTCGTTTCAGCAGTAGGATCAGAATCAGTAAGTTTGACCTTTTTTTCTCACAGTGTGGGTCTATAATGAAGTCACAGTTAACAATACAGCAGCTGTGAGCAATAGAGGTCATAATTGCAGTAAATCGCCTTTTTTTTTTTTTTTTTTTTAATTTCAGATGGGAGAAAAGGATTTTTGACTCAGGCAATTTGTGACAAGAATATGAACTGACTAGAGTCCTTGGATAGATTTCAGTGCAGGTTCTTAGGTCAGTGGCATGGATAGCAGGAATGTCATATCTCCAAAATCCTCAGAGTGAGGTTTTCAAATCATTAGGTTTGGTTTAGTAATTTTCTTTTAGCTGAGAACTTTTTTCAGATCCCTAAACAATGTCATTTTAACAGAGTAAATAATGGCAATTTTGCGTCTTGATTTAACTTTTTATGTATTGGAAAATAATCATATTTTGTAATCTAGCTTTTGTGTAGTATAAAATGAATGTAATATATAAATATCTGATTGTATGTGATATGTATACCAGACACCTTGTGATTGTAGTTTTGCATTTTTAACACGTAGGAGATTTTATTTTTGCTCCAGTTTTTATTTGCCCTTGATTTTAGCGATACTGCCACCAGGTGTCATTTCCAGTGAACTGAAGATGATGGTTATTTGCTTTAATTCACCTTCACATAGCTGTGGAGTCTCAACTTTTATAACATTGAGTGATTTTCTTTAGAATATTTAAAAATATATCTGTAATTGTATCTTTCACAGCTGATTTATAACTTTCCGCATCCTGCCTGATTCTCTAAAGTTCCAGGCAATGTAATATTTGGCAGCCAAATTAAGAAAGGGGTGGAAAATACTATGCAGGCCTCCTGAGTCCTTTTGCCTTTATCCACATCGCTAGCTTATCAGGCCTGGCCTCTTTCCTCTTGAACCAAAACACAGCCAGGGAATCCTTCTTAGTTTCCCCAGCATTCAAAGTAGCTCCTACCACTTGATTTGAATTAGCATGGAGGATATGAAACCTCCTTTATGTTTTTTATCTCTCTGCAGTACAGGCTACTACTTTGTCCATTTTGAAGTTTTTGTCGTCTTCTACCAGTTTTTTTTTTTTTTTTTCTAAATAAAACATTCATCCTGTCCATTCATATCTCTGTCTTATAAAACCACAGATAAGCCACTATGGGCTATAACCTATCATTTCTCCCAAATTGAGCTATAATTATTATTTTAAAAAATTATTGGGGGTTGCATTTCAGAAAAGAGTAGATGAATCTTTTCCCTTTTTAAAATTGAAAGTGAGTATCTTAACCTGCATTTAATACATACTAACTATAGGTTTTATGAGATTTCCCTTCGCTTCAATTAGCAACTGACTTAAACTTAATTTTTAAAGTATAAAATAACTATTTGTCTTTGAACAGAAATAAATTTTGCAATGACAAAAAAAATCAAATCCAGAACTGAATGATTACATTATAAAGGATGCACTAGGGAATTTAACCATAAGTATAAATTGAGTGCATGTGCTATCATTGGGTTTCTTTGTGCTTTTATTTTCTGTGATTTTATTTTTACTTTTAATTTCTCACTTATGTTTCAAGAGCCCATTTTAGCTTCCTGGTAATGAAATCTTATATCTACTGTATGTATATTTGTTTGGTGGGAAAGGTGGATGAATTAAGATCTGTTTTATTAAAGTATAGTTTTTGTACAACAATATATGCATACCTTGAGTGTTCATTTTGTTTTAACCTTATATACAACAATGTAACCACTACCTAAAACAAGATACAGAATATTTCCACCATCCTAAAAGTTCTGTTGTGACCCTTTTGTCATCCCACCCCACCCCACTTTCTGATTACTATCATCATAGGTTAGTTTTGCCTATTCATAGGCAAAATTCATATAAATGTAATCCTATAGTATTTATTATTTTGTTTCCTTCACTTAACAAACATTATTTTTGGAAATTCATCCATATTTGTTGTGTATTTCAAATGTTATTTCCTTTAATTGCTTCATAGTATTATACTGAATAAGAATACTGTAATTTATCTATATTTACCTGTCAGTGGACGTTTGGGTTGTTTCTGATTTGGACCTATTATGAATAAGGGTACTGGGAACATTCTTGTATAAATCTTTTGTACATGTGTATTTTTATTTCTCTGGGATCACTACCTAGAGGTAGCATTGCCAGGTCATAGGGTATATGTGTGTTTACCTTCATGAGAAAATGCAGTTCTCCAAATTTTTATCATTTTACATTTCTACAGTGTATGAGGTTTCCAGTTGCATGACATCCTCACCATTTGGTATGGTTGATCTTTTAGAAATCAGCCATTCTAACGGGTCTACATAGGTTTCATTTGCATTTCTCCATGACTAATAATATGTGCTTATTAACCATTCATTGATTTTTTTTTTTTTTTTGCGACCATCTTTCCAGTCTTTTACTCATTTATTACTGAGTTGTAGTTTTTTTTTTTTTTTTTTTTTTACATATAATGGATATAAGTCCTTTGTCACATTATGTGTCAGTGTTTTTTTCCCCAGACTGTGGTTTACCGATTTCTTTTCTTGGTGGTATCTTTTGATGCGCAGAAAATTTTAGTATCAATGAAATCAAATTTGTCAACTGGCTTTTATGAATAGTAGTAGTTTTTGTATCCTAAGAAATCTTTGCTGTCCTCAAGTTCGTGAGGGTATTCTGTGCTTTCTTTTAAAAGATTTTTTGATCCTAGTTTTTATGGTTAGAGTTCTGTGGTTCATCTTGAATTAAGTTTTGAATATGAAATGAGGTGTAGGATTTGATATTCACGTCCCCAGATGCTTACCTAAGCATTGCAGCATCATTTGTTGAATTGGCCTTTCCCTGTTGATCTGGGAGCTTTTGTCCAAAACAAATTTATCTTTTATTTGTGGGTCTGTATTTATTTGCATCCTGTTCTGTTGCTTTGGTTGATCAGTCCTTGAACCAGTACCTCGGTGCCAGTTACTGTAGCTGTGTGGGTCAGTCTCAAATTCAGGTAGTATAAATCCACCAGCTCTTTTCTTCTGTTTCAAAGAACTTTTTTTTCTTTTCTTCAGGTACTTTTTATTTACATATAAATTTTAGAATCAGCTAATAAATTTGTCCCCAAGAAATCTTGCTGGAATTTCTATTTGGATTGCATTTGAAGTTCCCCAGGAGAATGGACTTTTTTTTTTTTTTTTAAGATTTTATTTATTTATTTGACAGAGAGAGAGATAGCGAGAGCAGGAACACAAGCAGGGGGAGTGGGAGAGGGAGAAGCAGGCTTCCTGCCGAGCAGGGAGCCCGATGTGGGACTCGATCCCAGGATCCTGGGATCATGACCTGAGCCGAAGGCAGACGCTTAACGACTGAGCCACCCAGGCGCCCGAGAATGGACATTTTAACAGCAATGAGGCTTCCAGTCTGTGAACATGGTTTCTCCCATTTATTTAGACTTTAATTTGTCTCAGCAGCATTTTGTACTGTTCTGTGCGGAAGTCTCAGGCACATTTTATTTTTTTAATTTTTAATTTTTTGGATTTTTTTAAGCGTCTTTTTTAAAGTATCATCTAATTTCTCATTGCAAATATGTGGTACTAAAACTGAGTTTTCTATATTAACTCTATATCCTAAGACCTTGCTAAATTTACCTATTCTAGTTTTTTGTTTGTTTTTAGATTCTGTAGGACTTTCTATTTAATCATATCCTCTGCAAATGAACAGTTTTATTCTTTGAATCTGTATGCCTTTATTTATTTTTTTTATTATACCGACTGGGACCTCCGTATGTTGAGTAGTTATGGTGAGAGCAGACATCTTCCCATGTTACCAGTCTTGTGGGAAAAGTGTACATTTATTCAGTATTTTTTTTTTTTTTTGTGAGCACATTTTTAAGTAGGGTACTAATTGTATATTTCTTGTAGCCCTCTATCAGGTTGAAGGAGTAGTTTCCTGTGGTTATTTATTTATTTTTAAAAGATTTTATTTGTCAGAGAGAGAGAGCACAAGCAGGGGGAGCGGCAGGCAGAACAGGCAGAGGAAGAAGCAGACTCCCCGATGAGCAAGCAAGTCCCATGGTGGGACTCGATCCCAGGACCCTGGGGTCATGTCCTGAGCTGAAGGCAGATGCTTAACTGTGACTGAGCCACCCAGGCGTCCTGTTTTTAGATAGTTTCCTGTGTTTTTAGAGAAACGTTTTGCACATTTGTTTTTCTGAATCATGAGTGGGTTTTGAATGTTGTCACATGCTTTCTGCACTTACAGAGATGATCGTATGGTTTTTTTCCTGATATGTGGTAAAACACATTAATTAACTTTTAGAATATTAAGTTCAACCTATGATAAACCACACTTGGCCTTGATATATTGTCTTATGTATTGCTGGGTTCATTTTGTTAGTCTATATTGGTAGGAATTTTGTCATTAAATGGATATTTGTCTAAAATTTTATATAATACCTTCATTAGGTGTTGATCTCAGGATTATGCTGGTCTCATAAAACTATTGGGAAGTACTCTTTCTTGATTTTTCTGAAAGAGTTTGTGTAAGATTGGCATTATTTCTTTTGTAAATATTTAATAGAGTTTATTGATGAAGCTCTCAGGAACCAGGGATATTCTTTGCTAGAAGGTTATTAATTGTAGCCCATATTTTTTGATAAATATGTGGCTATTCAGATTTTGAGTCAATTTTGGTAGGCATGTATTTCAAGAAACTTGTCCTCATCTA